AAAAGGTACAAAAGAAAGAAAATAACTTATGTTATAATTCTATGGAAGAAAAATTCTAAATATTGTCTTTTTTTGAGACCAAAGTAATTGTTTTTCATCTAATTGAGCTGTCAATTTTGAGCAGCTAAAAATTTAAAACTATGCTCTCTTCCCATAGAAGGAAAATATAAAAGGCATTCCCTTTGATATATAAATAATAGTGATTATCATTCTAGGCTATTGAATATTTTTATATAATGAAAATATGTTTTAACCATATGTAGATTGTCTGGTTTTAGCTTGGGATGTAGAAAACTGCAAAGAGCCTTTTCCCACCCTTATAACAACAGCAAAACAGATGGAGAAAATACAAAATCCCAACTTCTCTTGGACCATCTGAGAAGTAAAGTCACAGGGCACCTGGCTAGCGTGAGACAGAGGTGAAAAGGCGGGTAGACAGCAAGGAGGGACCTGATGTAGCAGACTTAATCAGATGCCAGTTAAGAATTGTTAAATTATGGCTAAGAAATGCTTAAGGGTTGACTGTGGGCTGGCAAGAAAATATCAATACAGTGAGAATTTGCACCTGCTTTTAAGCTCTTCTCTATAGCCCTCACTGGGTATTCACAAAAAAATTATTGGCCAAACTCCTGAGAGAGTGACTCTTGAGTGAAAAGTCTAAAGAAAAGAACAATAGCTGCTATAAGAAAGACACAGAAGTCTACCCAGATTCATCTCCCTATCCTCCACACAGAAAGGGAACCTAAAATACTGGGGCAAGTAAGGCATACTGATGAGAACCCATTGTAGCTGGGGGTGAGGTGGGAGGGAACAGATCCTTTATTCCTGGGTCAGGGCTTCCATGATATTTACTTAAGTTAGATCAAATTATATCTACTACTAAGGTGTTATCTCAATGATCATTACTTACTCTATTCTGGCTTCTATGACAAGAATACCTTAGATTGGGCAGCTTAAATTTATTTCTGACAGCCCTGGGGACTGGGAAGTCCAAGATAGGGAGCCATTTGATTTGGTGTCTGGTGCAAGCCCAGTTCCTGGTTCATAGGGAGTTGGCTTCTCCCTGTGTCCTAACATAGCAGAAGGGGTGAGGGATCTCTAGAGTTTCTTTTATAAGGGCACTAATTCCATTCATGAGAGCTTCGCCCTTATGACCTAATTATCTTTCGAAGGCCCTGCCTCTAGGCACTATCTCATTAAGGATTAGATTTTAGCATATAAATTTCGAGGAAATATAAACACTCTATAGCAATCATATAACAATATATACAAGGTCTGTCCAGAAACAAGTCCAGCCATTGTTAATAAAACAAGAACAGTTTCATGGCATGGATGTAACCTGGCAGCCAAGGAGAGTGAGCTGGAATGTGCTTCTGTGAACAATAACGACTTCACTGTACTAGTCAGTGGGGATGGTAGCTGCTGTTGAGTGAGCATATGTACTGTGTGGCCATCACGTTCAAAATGACTGAGCGAGTATAGCAATGAATCTGCATCAGATTTTGTGTTAAGCTTGAACATTCCTCCGAGGAAACCATTCAGATGATTCAGAAATCCACAGGTATGGCAACTGGTGATTAGCAGCTTCATCATGGCAACTTGCCTACTCACACATTACATCTTCTGCAGAGTTTTTTGGTGAAACATCAAATCACCCAGGCGTCTCAGTGCCCGCCCCCCCCACAGCCCAGATTTGGTGCCCTGAGACTTCTAGCTTTTCCCAAAGCTAAAATCACCCTTGAAAGGAAAGAGAGTTCAGACCTTAGATGAGTCAGGAAAATATGACGGGGCAGCTGATGGTAATTTGGAGAGCTGTGTGGGGTACCAAGGTGACTACTTTGAAGGGGACTGAGGCATCATTATCCTATGTATAGTTTCTTGTATCTTCTTCAGTAAATATCTCTATTTTTCATAGTGCATGGCTGGATACATTATGGACAAACCTCTTGTGTGTAGTTTATGCCTCTTACCTCTATAATATTTGGTATGCATTGCTTTTTGGGTTTGCATATGAATGCACTTATGTGTTGATACCATTTTATAATGGGTCATTAAAAGTTAATGATGTATCAAAAACAATGCACTTAATGTGGTACAGAAGAGAGGCAGGAACCAATTCTGCTAAATTCTGAATGATCCAGTAATTCATTTCATATTCAATATTTCTGTACCTCAATAATTATAATATGTATTGTTATACTGTTAGAGCCCCCTCTTGACCAAAAGTAACATATTATTAGTGTAATTTAAAAATATTAAATATTTTAACCTAAATACTAATTTTACATTGTGATGTGCATTAACTAAAATTTTCCATTAAGAGACTTTTTGCTATTATGAAATTATTGTAAGACATGATGACATATACAGTTTGAAAATTTAGATACTAAACTTAATGGGCAAGAAATATTGTGGGCCCTATTATAATATAGAATAAAAGGAATATGATCTTGGTTCCATATTTTCCTTTTAAATAATTAGTGAGCTAAGTAAATGAACTAAGTTCCTGTCTTTAAGAATTAAGAATAAGAATATTCTCTTAAAACTTTGAAAGTTTTCATTATTAAGAAAGCATTTCATCATCAAAGTAGTTAATTTTTTCTGTACTTTCTCACATATATTATTTTATAATTATTTTACTTTCTACATATTAATTCATATCTATTAATGCTCACAAAGTGCTAGATCCTGCCTTTTTAAAGTTTACAGACAGATGATAAGATCATTAATGATATCTAAATTAAAGTCTAGATTAAAGAAATATATTAAAGAAATACATTAGTAATTATAGTGTGGATTTTGTAGTAGGGTCCCATTTACCATTGTGGATTTGGAGGGTGGATTTAATTTAATCTGTTATGATTTTAGTTGAAGGTGCAAATTGGTTAAAGGTTTCCAAGTAGAAGGAGAATATAAAAAGTTGTCATATGAAGTTATAAATGGCCCTAGGTATTATCTACTTCAATCCATACATATTACATATAAATCCTTGAGAGATTAAGTGATTTATCTGAAGTTCAAGGCTTAGTGACCCATTTTTCCTTTTTATTCTTCCAAGATTCTTTTCTTTCATATTTCTCTCCAAGTATCAGGTCTTTTCCCTGCTAAATGCCATGGAAAATTTTCCTCTTTCAAACTAGGAGTTGATGCCCAAGTAATTCTTGAAAGTTGAACTCAAGCGAGTCAGTTGAAGAACGTGAACAGAACAAGTGCAGGGGGTGAAGCTGCACGTGGAGAGGCATTGCTGAGGCCAGAGCACAGCCTCCCTGAGTAGCTGCGCATGGCAACTAGGGCGCGTGGAGCAGGCTCCCGTGCAGCCCAGGTCTTTTCCTTGCAATGGTCGAAAGGGTCAGTTTTCCTATTAGAGGTCAAGTTAAATTCACAACAAGTATTTTACTGTTTAGTATTATTTTTGTCAAAAGACTAATTTTTATTAAAATTTAGAGTTTATTTATACAAGATTATGTTCAAGTAAGCAGTTTTAGATTCTCAGGTAACTGGTAAATTATATTAAGCTCATTTATCAATTTGTTTATGAAATGTGGTAGGGATACTTATGAGCTAATCTTCCTGTTAAAGAATTAGAGTGATTAGATCCAAATATGGATCAAAATCATTTTTGTTTTTGTTTCTTAAAGAACAAATCTGATTCAACTCCTGTACCACAAGTCAGGAAATCATATTTTAAATCTTCCTTTGAGTACTAAATATGTTACTTGGCTCCTCAGGGCAAAAATTGCAATTACAATGCTACATATAAATTTTAGTAAATATTACAATTTTGATCATTTATAATACCAGTTAAATAAAATGAATTCATTTGTTGTCACACATACAATCTCTGGGCTTGTGCTTAGTAGTCTCCAGTCCACTAAGAATCCTACTGTGAAAACCCTACATTTGTACTCAGATAGCTCCATGATGGCCTAAAACACTTAATATATAAAATATCTCCCTTGACCTGTGCAGCCGGAGACATCAGACTCATTTTGTTCATAGCATGTTGATCTGGTGCATTACCAAGCCCTAAAAAATGAAATTATACACCCTGTAAAAGTACATAATGAAACATCCTCCAAAAGAAATACACATTTGAAATTATGATTGGCTTCTGAAAATTAAAATCAATATAAAATAGATATGGGTGTATATATGCAAATTCTCTTAAATTGGAAAAATCAGATAAGACTCTTAAAATGCAACTATATTAGGTCTCAATGTATTAAATTTAAGAAAAGCAGATATCATCAACCCTAAGTGGAGGGTTTGGTAGTCATTAAACCACACCAAAAAAAAAAAAAAAAAAAGTGAAGAGATCAAACATTCAAGTTCCCATTCATGCACAATACAGAAAATCCTTGAATTATTGATCCCTGTGGTAGGTACAATTTATTGTGGAAATGGACACATTAGTTAACTCAATGCTCAAGCATTTTTTTGCCTGCATTATTCTGTGCTCTTCATGCACCCTTCTTTTTTGGATCCATGAGCTGCTTTTCCACAGGACATCTACAGAGATAACATACATATAGTTAGGTTCTGGTGACCTTAACATCTGATTTCCTTAGCAGTAATGATTGAAATTGGAAACCAATAAAGTGATATTGATTTTTACACAACTTTCAAATGAACTTTGTTTAGATGAATCTTCCATAAGAAATCAGTTCAGTCTTGGTCTGTTTTCAAATCTAAGAGACTAAAGGTCCCAGTCCGAGGAACTAAAAATGCGCCCAACAAGTTCCCCAGGTGACCCCCACAGGGGCATTCCCTAGAGGCTCTTCTTTCTACCTCTCCACTCCTTGTAACCCTTGCTAAGGCTCATAGAAGAATGTTGTAAACATCTATAAACTGAAACTTTATTTTCTCAATGTCTGGTTTTGTAGCATTATAAAAATCTGTAGACATAATAAATTTACAGAACCCACTTGATTGAAAAACATTATTAATCTCTAGTCAACAGATTGAAGTAAATCCTTATATTAAGTTAAGAATCTTCGCCTGTGCTCACTTCAGCAACATATACTAAATCTGGAATGACACAGAGAAGATTAGAATGGCCCCTATGCAAGGATGACATGCAAATTTGTGAAGCATTCCATGGTTTTTATCTAATTAAGTTTACATGGTGACAGATGATTACTAGAATTGGTGGAATGATCACATTGTAAGATATAAAAATGACAAATCACTATATTGTATACCTGAAACTAATATAACACATATATGATTATACACTAATAAACTTTTTTAAATATTTGTGTAGGGTATCATTTTTGTCTATGAAATATCAATGTCAGTATCTGAAATTAATAAGATATTATTTTAATTAAATTGTTAACAACTGCTTTTGTTTCAATTTACATGAGAGAAAAAATCATTTATTACTAAATATGCATTGGACATTGAGTTTTTTTAATAGAAACTTGCTGATCAGAATTTACTTAATACATATTTAGAGGTAGTTCAGAGTTTTGCAGCCTTGTCTCTTTAAAATTTTGATCTGTGCAATATATTATTTGTTAGAAAGTGTGATATAAAATCACCTTTTTTTGGCAACTTTTATTTACTATTATTATTAACAAGAACATGTCTCTCTGCTGTCATGTAAAGCAAAGGCCACAGTAAGCAAAAGATTTTTAAAAATAATGTGGAAGTCAGGTTGTAGACATTAAAAACTTTTAAAAATTACTTTTTTAAAAATTTCTAAAACTTGAATAATATAACTTATCCTTCAAATTATGAGCTATAAAAGGTTTTCTCTGGTCTTCTAGGAGTTAAATTTTAGACAGAGTCCTTTCCCTTGTCTTTTCATTCTTCCTCTACACTTCAAGTTGAGGTCAGTGTGGGTAGCCCTATGGAAGGGTCAAGAAGGTGAATATTCAGAGAAAACGATGAAAAGCGTTTATCTGACTTACTGATAGTACAAGAGATTCAAAAGCTCTATGTTATTCCTTGATAACTAATATTCGGTGCACTTAATTAAATTTTCTCATCATCTTGGTTTCTAAATCATCAGCAATGTAGGAAATATACATGAAAATTGCCACTTAATGGATTGTAATTTATGTAAACTTATACAAATTACATGTATACCTCTTGGTAAAACAAGCATATTTTACATATGTCTCTGAAAATCCTAGCAGAGACTGGTTCTGAGTGGTAGTCGTGTGTGTGAGAGCCACTGAGCATCAAACATCAGGTGAAGTAGTTAAGGTTACCTCATTTAATTTTCTTAACAGATCTGAAAAATGGCCATTAGCCTTATTTTTAAATGGGAAATCTTACTTTCTTAGTGAATGAATGCCTCTATAAGTTTCCTAGGACTGCCATAAGAAGTTATCAAAAATGTGCTTAAAACAACAGAAATTTATTTTCTCATTGCTCTGGAGGTCAGAACTCAGAAAATAAGATGTCAGTAGGGTTTGGTACCTTCTGGAGGCTTAAAGGAGAATCTGTTCCATTCCTATATCCTACCTTCTAATGGCTGTTAGCAATTCTTGGTATTGTGGACTCTACTCCAATCTCTGCCTTCATTTTCACATTGCCTTCCTCTGTTTGCACCTCTGTCTTTTCCCTTTATGTTTCCTATAAGAACATTGGATTTAGGGCCCACTCTAAACCCAAGATGATATTTCATTTCAAGATCATTAACTTAATTACATTTGTGAAGACCCTGTTTCCAAGTAAGGTCAGATAATGAACTGGGAGTTAGCACTCAGAAATATATTGGACTATATATTTCTCTTCCTCTTCCAAAAAGGCAGTGGCAGTCAGAATTCAAATTCTCTTTTTCTGACCTTGGAGGACAAGTACTTATTGTTGTATACCAGCTCAATAAATATGGCCAAGGTTCCACATTAGGTACAAGGTCATACTCTTAACAAGATAACTAAAACACAGTCCCTACTTTTGAAGTGCTTCCACACTAGTGAAATTCAGCTGGCTCTTTAATTTCTAAAAAACTAACAGTGTCATCTCACTGCATTTACAGAGATAAAATATGATTTAAGCTGCCTAAAGAAATATATTGCTATATACAATTTTACCCCATAAGTATATTTTCTGCTTTGTTTAGACTTCAAAAACTAGCAAAGTGAGAAAATTCAATTAGGTACAATGGCTTTTAATTATTGTAAGATTTAAATACCAATTTAAAATTTCTTATTGTATCAGAAAGTTAAATAGCTAAATTATAAAGAAAATTAAATTTTAAAGAAATATTCAATTTTTAAAGGTAATATAAAATATTAATTCAGTAAATAAACTAAAAAACTATAAATATTTTAAGTATGAAAACTGATTAGAGAGAAAGTTATTTGTGATTATGGTGTTTATTTATGAAAGAGACAATTACTGGATTCTAGGAAATTAAGTACTTTAAAATATTAGAATACCAATTATATTTTACGAAGACCAACAACATGCATTGAGAAAAAATAGTTTTCTGATAGTTATTAAAATGTATTTATATTAATAAATATTGCATACAAAGATAAATCTCTAGGTTCATTTTTTTCTTGTTGATGCTGGGTTTTTCAGCATTTTAGGGAAGAGTGGCTTATAAATGACACTGTGTCACAATTATCCTCTCTCTTCTTCTAAGTATTATAGCATGAATTAGCCAGCCTGCATTTTTACACACGTCACAGTAATTACAGATGACCCCAAAAAACACAGAGGTCAGGGGCACTGACCCCACAGAGTCAAAGTTCTGTGCATAACTTTTGACTCCCCCAAAACTTAACTACTGTTGACTGGAAATTCTACGTATAGCATAAACTCAATTAACACATATTTTGTATGTATACGCTATAGATAATGTATTCTTGTAATAAAGTAAGCTAGAGAATAGAAAATGTTATTAAGAACACCGTGAGAGAGGGAAAATTCATTTACAGTAAGTTTACATCATCTACTTACAATATGAATCATCTGTCAGTACTTACATCAATATTCTCTTATATGATAGAAAATACTGAGGATGTTCTATGTATTACGAATATTAGACATCAAAAATGAGAAGATAATGTGAAAAGAAATTCATATTTATTACAGGTATAACAATGTATGCACTGCTAACAAAGAAGCAGCAATATGATTGCTTTACGGTAGTTGAACGGAATCTATTGCTTCACAATAGGAAGGAAATCTCCAAAATTTTTTAATATTTTTATTGAAAAATCTGTGCATAAGTTGGCCTGTGCAGCTCAAACCCATATTGTTCAATAGCTTGCTTTAAAAGCCACTTGAGGATGTTTCATATTAGGATAGATATTTTATTTACAAAATCCAAATTAAAACAAAAAAAAACCCTTTAAACTAGTGGTTTCATAGTAACTAAATGAAGATTTGGATCTGTAAATACAACACACTCTCAAAGTATTTTTATGACAATGCTTCTTTCAAAAATAAAATACTAAAGTAATTCTTCAAATCCTTCATTTGAAATCAGGTTAGAATTTACACAAATTTTCAACAGACTTCATAGATGGAAAGGTGAATGTTTCTGTGGAACAAATTCCATATAGATTTTGGAAGAGAAGGAATAAGAGTAGAATGGGGAATGAGGCTTGCAGGATAAGGAAGAAAGCAGATATAGAAAACTGGAAGTCAAAATCTTTATCTTCTTCCATATATTTACCACTCTGAAGATAAATGATTCCACTTTTTATTTTCCTTCCATATTTCTATCCACTTCCTTTTCTTTGTATTTCTGCCCTTTTACTTACCTTCTTCTCTTGTCTCCTACATCTTCTCTCTTCATGTGGCACAGTGATTGTTAGGTTAAAGTGGAAGATAATACGCATTAACTCAAGGACATTTTGTAATTAATTCTTAGGATTTTTCTAGGTTCCCTTTCCTTGGTTGATTAAAAACAAGTCAGTATAGCTAAGTGGCTAATAATACATAGAATTAATAAAGAAGATTGAAAAATTAACAGTAACTAATTTGTTTATTAAAATTCTTATCTGATGGGTATAGAAAAATAGCTACTTTTTTACAATTTCTGTGGTTTTTTTAGCAAGTGAAATCTATATTGATGAAATTTACTGTCATTGTCTCATTTGTTGATTTATGAGATATTTGTCACTGCACCTGGGAAATCACCTGGTCCAGTGGAAGTGGAAGATAAGTAAATCACTAATTACTGTCATACATATTCAGCTAACCAATAGCAACATAAATGGACTGAGATTGTAGTCAAATGGATGGTCAAATGTCTGGGGTGTTTGAGTCTTCTTTAAAAGGAAGCAATAATTAAGGTTCTTGAAGAATGATAGAAATGACTCTTTTATCTTTCACAAATTCTAAGTTTTCTTCACAATACCTCTTATAAAAGAGAACACAGAATTCTATTTACCATCATACCTTGATTCAATTGTACAGCAGTTTTGAATGTATAACTCAGAATGTAATTGGCACTTTAAGGTAAGACATTAAGATTTAATTTGATTTTTACCTTGATAACTTGAAGTATTTAACAAGACAGTTTTGAATAAAATAAAGTAAAATTTACCTAAAAATACTGAATAATGGTTCTACATATTAATGTCTACTGTAACTATCCTTGCAAGGCAAAATCATTAACATTTTGTATCTGTAAAGTAAATTTACTTTGTAACTAAAATGCCTAAAATTTTAACATAACAGTAAAAGAATACTATGGGTAAATTATGCATACTTTATTCTCTTTGTGACATTACCAGCTACATGGTTAATGCTTAGCTAATTTATTAAAATTATATTATTAATTTCTAAATAAGAAAAGAAAGCACAGAAGTCATTATTCCAAATCTAGAATTGAGGCATTATATTTTTGACTACTAAGTTATCTTTAAATAGTCCAAACTAAAATTGAGTGTTTTCAGATACTATTAGAGACAGTAAAATTGAATAATGTTTGCTTCTAAATCTTCATTTTGATAGGTATGATTTAATTCAATTTTGTTTTTTCTTTGATATAGCAAAAGAGTTAAGAGAATATCCAAAAATTAATCCAACCCTTTACAATTATACATTTGAAAATAATTATATACTAAAATATTATATGTTTACTATGATATATATAATTGTACTTACTATAAGAATTAAAAATTATATTATA